AACGCCCTAATAGTGATCATATTCGTCTGGCTTTTGGCATCTCTGATTGCTGGCCCCGCCCTCTACTTCAGAGACGTTGTGAAGCTCAACAACCACGTCTTGTGCTATAACAATTTCCATGAGAATGACCCTGATCTCAGACTGATGAGGCACCATGCTCTGACCTGGGTGAAATTCATTGTTGGGTACCTCTTCCCTTTGATAACCATGAGCATTTGCTACTCATGTCTCATCTTTCAGGTGAAGAAGCGAAACATCGTGATCTCTAGTAAGCACTTCTGGACAGTCTTGGCTGTGGTCATTGCCTTTTTGATCTGCTGGACTCCTTATCATCTGTTTAGCATTTGGGAGCTCATGATTCACCACAACAGCTACTTTTTCCAAGTGCTAGAGGCCGGAATACCCATCTCCACCGCCCTGGCCTTCCTCAATAGTTGCTTAAATCCCATCCTGTACGTCCTCATCAGCAAGAAGTTCCAAGTTCGACTCCGTTCCTCTGTGGCTGAGATCCTAAAGCACACACTGTGGGAAGTCAGCTGTTCAGGCACAGTGAGTGAACAGCTCAGGAACTCCGAAACCAAGAACCTGTGTCTCATGGAAACAGCCCAGTGAGCTGTGACTTACACACAAATCAGCACGAGGCTCTGTGTAGCTCCTGGAACAGATGATTTCAGATTCAGTTGTGTTCCCAGCTTACAGAGCTGATCTTTAGTGATTCACTTTATTGCCATCCTAGTGGTTTGTTGGGGGTTTGGGGGTTGGGTTTTTTTTGTGCAGACATAAAACTTAGCAAGGCTCATTGTAATTGTTTTGGGTTTCCCTTGCAACTTAAATGATCTGTGTCTTTCTTGCTAACTATACCGCTTGGGCTAATCACCATGGCTACGCAATATCAAATCTCAATTTTTTTAATCTTAATAACATTTTTTTAAATTCTAAAATAGAAGATTTGTTAAGAAAACATGCACGGAAACCCGCGAAGTGAAAACATGACTCGGTTTTTGTTTCTGACCTAGAAAAGGCTGCAGAGAAACAAAGCAAAGGATGCTCCCAGACGAAGGTGGTGTGGGCTCCATCAACGTCCCCAGGCGGGAAGTCTCCCCGGGAGGGTGGCAGCTGCTGGAAGCAGGGACATGTCACCCATGAGGTGTCCCTGACGGGAAAGTCTGAGTTCACATCTGGGGCAGCTGCCAGCTCACCCAGCCAGGGCTGCGGCTTCAGTGTTCCAGCACAGCCGTGACCTGTTGCCTGAGAAATGGGGACCCCAGTGGCCACGAGGTGGCCTTCTGCTGGGAGGACCCCAGGAGAGGAGGACAGCCTCGGAGGGCATCGGCAGGTGGACACTGTGGGCTGTCTGACCCCAATGCTCTCCTGGCCCCAGTCCTTGTGTCCCAGGCAGGTCAGGAACCCTGAGCACCGGGCCGTGACATGTCCCTGGCTGGCACCCAAGGGCTTCACCCAGCACTCCTTGGCTCTGCCAGGGATTGGCCACCCCTAAGCTGTCCACAGGAAGTGGCACATGGGTTTCTGTGTAGCCTGCTGACCCCCTAGGCTCTGGCCTCTGTCCAGTCCTGCCCCGGCCTGCTGGGATCTTCAACGGTGACCCTAAGAGGGGAAGAATGAGAATGGGGGGGACAGGAGGCACAAAAGCAGGAAGACAAGTTGAATCTCTGATCAAGTCATCCATTTATTGAAAGCACTCACAGCATATATATAGGAGCACAATGGGGGGAGGAGAAGTACGCAATGGGGGAGAATAACATGTCGTTTCCAGTAAGCTGAAAGTTATCTGGTAAACAGAAACTTAGCAGGGCGTTCCCAGTAAACTGAAACCTGTCCTCCCAGGGTAGGGCAACATGTCCAGACATGTCCTTAGAGAATTACAAAATGGCTTCAGCTAGATTGAACTAGCAGTCTCCAACAGATCCTCCCTGTTTTTTATAATTATTTGAAGACTGCAAAAGCACAACAGTGTTACCTTTGGTGCGCTCCTGTTTGACCATGTATGAAACCAGCGCCTGTCTTAGGTTGGACACCACACCTACTGATCTTACCCATCATGGGTTAACCCAGCAGCTATGGTGGGGCGCCTGTCTTAGGTTGAAACAGGGTTCGATGTCTCTTACCCAGCTCTGGCAGCCCGGTTCATTAGCCTGTATCATCAAGGATTTTCTTTATCGGCCATTTGCAGTCTTTGATAACGGACTTGTATGGGATGGGAAGCTATGGATTCAACCTGCTGCTTGATAAAGTGTGTAAGCCTCTGAAATGCCCAGGGGACAAATGAAATAAGCAAAAGAAAGCCTATTAAGGGCCTCCAAAAGGAGTGACTGGTCTTTGACCACGTCCCCTTAACTTTTAGGCCATAATTCATCTATTATACATTCTTTTGCTTTAAATTTTGTCACAATATGCACTAACCCA